CATCAAATGCTTGAAGAAAAATGTTTGAGTTAGAGAAAAGCACCTTGATGTGTGAGGTCAAAGACAAGGATGTAGAGGCTGAATGTGCGAGACAATTATTCCAGGAAAAGCGCTCTCAGAGAAGAGGGAAAAGTTAAAAGGAAATAAGGGAAATTCAATCTAATAGGTTGTAAAAAAATTCCCATAAATTTCGTCCACCCTTATATAAGCATATGCAATCTGACAAATCAGATTGAAAGTAAGAACAAGTACAAACCAATGGTCAGATTTCACCTTGGGAACATAATCAAACTCAAGTACACAGTAAGTTGTGTTACATCACTCTTTACCTTTTCAGCTCACACGTCAAGAGAAAAACAGTGAAACATTTTGATAATGAGACTGCATTTAATACTCATGTTCCCCGTTACTCTATGACAAAACCAAAGCAAAACACATCTGCTAAATAACAGGCAACCATTCTATAAGACCGACCAAGACTGCTAAAAGACTCCCCTGACATCCAGAGTGCCTGAGGAGTCTTAGGGGAAACTGTTATGTGTCTGCCAAAGGCTTAATAAGGAAAGGTTCAATTATCCTGCCCTCTCCATTAAGCCCAAAGTATAAATATCTTCTCAAGGAACTTTCAAGTACACAATCTCTAATCTCCATTTTCACTATGATTATTTTGAATCCTAACTGACTTGGGCATTAGAGTGCTAACCATTTAGGCACCCCTAGGTACACTAAATCAAAAATTACCAACACCCGTTTAAGATTAACACCTCTGATTCCAGAAGCATCACAATCACAACCTTTGGATCGAGACTTTCCTCCTTTGAATCACTTGAGAAGTTTCGCTCCATCATAGCTTCCATAAATTCATCCATTTCTGGTTCCACCATGGAACACCATCATTCAAAATTTCAACCACATCTTAAAATATAAACATGACTCTCATTTGTGCACTTCATCTATCATAGTTTTCACCTTTGAAAACAGATAGATTTGCATAAAATTGTTTCGAAGTTGTGCTTATACTTATCATTGGAAAAGGATTGAATCTGACACAGTCGGAAACACTAAGGATTAGCAAGCGCTAAGCCTAGAATGAGAACACAGGATTGCAAGCGTAAAACCCGTCAGTTAAACTCTGAAATCCACCAGATAAAGAAAATACTAAATTTTATTATATCAAACGATGATCTTTGACTCACGCCAAAAGTGGTTAAATTCAGAAGCAAAGAAATCCTAATGGGCTTTTAATCCAAATCAGAAATAAAATAGAAAAAAGTAACTTTAATGGACTTTTAGTCCAAAACATAAATAAAATAGAAAATTGCAGAAAATATTAAAATGGAAATGCTTTTTCCACCCTTATAGGTGCTCCCGCACCACCGTGAAAAGTCTGTAATGTCTCTAGCATTCAGAGATGCATCCCTGAATGCACCCTTTTCATCATTTCTCAGACAAAATTGAAGAGGCACACCTTTTAAGTAAAAATTAAATTTGGAGATGCATCTTTGTATGTGAAAAAAATGCGTCTAAAGATGCATCTCTATAAACACCATTTATTCAAAAATGTGTTTGTGATCTGGAGATGGATCTCTGGACGCTTTCTTTCATTAACCTGCGCCATAACCCTTCCCTCTTCCTCCTTTTTCATTTTCTAAAAAAGTTCTCAAAAAACACATTTGAGCTCTCCCTCTCTTATCCATTTGCATTGAAGCATCAGTTGAGCTCTTTTTTATTCTTTCCATCATCTCGTAACATCAAAACATATCCTTCTCATCAATCAATTACACTTTGGTAAGTTTTTCAAATTTTCTTTTCTTTTTGTGTTTTGATTTGTAGTTAGTTTTTTATGATACATTAGATGTTTTAGGCACTTTAGGTAGTAGTGTAAACGAGTTTAGTAGGTTGGAATAACATGCAATGAGTTTTTTGGGACTATTAGGGAAGAAAATGGGCCTGCCATGGTAGAGGAAAATCAAAGGTTTATTTGGAGATGCATCTTCGAATTTGATCTGAACTATTTTCGAAAATGTATCTATGAATTTGGCGCAATCAAAAAATTGGCACATTTTGTGGAATTTGTGAATTTCTCCGGACATACTATTTATATCTCCTTCAGTTTGTAACACAGGTACAATGACTGACAACAACAAAGGTCGAATTAGGGTCGGGTGTGTGTCTCAAACCGCGTCGTTACGACGTGAAAAGGCCTCAGCCAGGACCATGAGGCCACGAGTTACTGATGACTTGTTTGATGCTCCATTTACTCCGAATCCCTGATCGTCTAGTTCTCGTATGTGACTCTCTCTGGCATCGATCTTGGGCATATAATGTAGCAGAACTTGAGGATCCTGAGGCCCCTATTGACCCTGAAGCTCTTGAAGCCTAAGAGGAAGTCGGGTAGGATGTCCCATTAAAGAGTTATTCAGGAGGTCTATATATGACACTTCCTTACTTTATAATTATGCAGAGCATGCTGCTAGGCATGTCTGGAATGGAGAGGTGTATTTCTTTTATTTTGCAATAGATATACATATGTTATCAACTAATTAAATCCAAATTGATTATGTTTTCTTTTTTTAGAAGCATGATTGTATGAAAATGATTAACCACGACAGAAAGATACATGTGTTGCCACAACCCACTGGTCGTTGGTTCAATGATATCATGCATTATCTGATTCTTGCCAGTTTATGTTCATCTACATACGTGACCATAAACCACGACATGCACACGACTGTTACAAAGATGTGGAACTCAAAGACATCATCTTTCCACCTACCTATAGGCGAGATGAACATCACTTTCAACGACGTCTCATACTTACTGCATCTTCTTATTAGGGGGAGATTACCAGATCACGGGAGGATCGAGCGAGAGAAAGGGGTCGATCTGATGGTCAAACATTGGAGGAGGTAGCTCGCACTAGAGGTGCTCAAGCACTATTTAGATTTTTAGAAAAGCTTTATAATGATCATGTGAAGGGGGCTACGGATGACGGTGGTGATGATGTGAATGTTGAGTACCATCGACATTGCCCATTGAGGTGTTACCTCTTGTTTTTGATTGACACGTCTATGTTTGTGGACAAAAGTGCAATATATGTCGATGTGATATACCTCAAGTACTTCACAAACCTGATTTCATTTCACGAGTACAACTGGGGGCCACCTATTTGGTCTACTTGTACTCAAAGCTGGGCGAGGATTGTCTTTGAAAGACAAAGTAGTTGACGAGGTGTTGCACGTTGCTTAGGGTTATTTCTTGTTACTGATATTGTCATAATTCATTTTTTACACTTGTTACTAATATTGTATCCAAAGCATTTTTAGGGATGGATCATCTCCCGCTTCCCTCGCATCACCGGGTGGGAAGTTGCGCCTAGACTGGCCACGTGCAGGTGCATTTTTTCTGTATAGGGGGAATGGTGTGGTCGAGCCATTCAAAGTCTTTCTTGACCGTACGATATCATATGACGTTTGCTTCTATACATACGAAGGTCACCGCCATATGCGCCAGTTTGATGTCATTTCTTTATACTTTGGATGGCTAGCTTGTGGGTCATCTCTTATGTATTCCTATATGCCTGAGCGAGTGATGCGTCCGTTTGGATACTCGCAGATTATTCTGAGACCTCTCCATGAGTATGCTACTCCCACCGTCCTCCGTAGAGATCTATAGCCGATACTGAATGATTTTGAGAGTCACATGGTACTAGAGGAGTATCATCGAGAGCCAACTCATATACCCTGGGTTTGTGCTGATGGATACTTGCCATGGTTCGATAGGTGTCACACCCTATCATAACGTCAGGAGCTTTTGGAGAATCCTTTAGACCAGCTATCCAGGAGGTACTTGAGGTTCGGGATGAGCGGGCAGAGAGCGTGACACAATATGTCAGTGTGTTGCGGAGATGGGTAAAGGAGAAATAAAGAAGAGACTCTTTGAGGATGATTCTCTTCAGTTGGCCCTTGTGGAGACCATGATTGTCGAGTTATGAAATGTTGTGCAGTACAAGCGGCAGACGAGACACGCGGTTAGACATACCCAGTAGTTTATATTGGGATGTATTGTTTTTTTTGTATCTTCGGGCTCCTGTTATGTATGAATTATCTTGACTTTTTTTATTAATGTATGAATTTTTACCCTCCTTTAACTTTAATTTTTACTTTGATTTCATGTTAATATACGTTAATGTATGAATTTTGACCTCACAAAAATCAAATGTTTGAACAATGGTGTTATTTTAATGTGAATCAGGGAGGGTTTCAGAGATGAATATCTGAAATAGTTCTCCTTTGTATTTATCACGCCTTCAGAAACTTTCAAGGGAGATTTCGAAGATGCATCTCTGAATACACTCAAATATCATTTGGAGATGCATCTCCAGACCACATTTTATTCAAAATTGTGCTGGATCTCAAAATAGCGAATTTTGATTGTGATCTGGGTGCATCTGCAATGCATTTCCGGATTCATGAAAGACAATTTTGAATTTTCAAGTATGTGGTTGCCTATATAAGGGTCCATTGGGCAATTCCCATATTAAAATCTTGTTTTTGAGTCTGAAACAAACTCAAATGACTTAAAAACTTTATTACATCAAAATCGAATCATACGCTATAATACCAGCTTGTTGGAGCAAATATGATGAACTTTATGAAGAAGTAGAATGAAGTTAATGAGTTTTGAAATAACTTTTATTCAATGGAAATGAATTACTTACAATACAATCTAACCTCATCTATTTATACAAGATAACAACAAACTCCTAAAAAACTAACAACCTTACTTAGTTATCGTACACTTACCAAACATGAATTATCTCTACAACAAATCAATCAATTGTAAATCATACAATTGAAATCAAATTGTGGAGATTTAAAATTCAATAAATAAATAAAAGCGAGTTATAACAAATCGGGTGACTGAGATCACTCTGCCGTCAATTACTATTTGACGAGAGGGAAACCATTTCTTTATTATATTTACAATTAACACAATGATTATTCAATCTTAATACCATTCATCTCCAACTTCTTAAGCATGCTTGGTCTCTTATATTTCTTTAACAAAAGAGAAGAGCAAACAACACTGATAGAAGATGCAGCCATAGCAGCTCCAGCAATCCAAGGTGGTAACCGAAATCTAGTAGATGGGTAAAGAACACCAGCAGCAATAGGTATTGCTAGAATATTGTAGCCAAGAGCCCAAACATAATTTAAACGAATGCGCGAGAGAGTTTTCTTCGCAAGATCAATGGCTATTATTATATCTTCCAAGTTACTCTTCATGAGAACAATGTCAGCTGCTTCTATAGCTATGTCTGTTCCAGCACCAATTGCTATTCCAACATCAGCTGCCACTAGTGCTGGTGAGTCATTTATCCCATCTCCCACCATTCCAACTATGTAGCCATCATTCTGCAAGGAAATAAGTCAAATCATTACTGATACCGACATTGGATACAAAAGCATCTGTACTAGTGTCGTGTCATATAACAATATGCGTCTGACACTGGATATGCTTTCGATCTGAAGTGTCAGTATGGACGTGGTTTCTTATAATATAATAGCATGTATCTTTTTTTTTTTACAAAGTTAATCAATGGTTTGTGAATTAGTGACCATGATTATTGTTTTACCTGAAATTCTTTTACTTTAGTAGCTTTGGTCTCTGGTTGAGCTTCTGCCATGACAGTTTCAATACCAACTTGTCTAGCTATAGAATTTGCAGTTCCCCAATTATCACCTGTCACCATTATGCTTCTGATTTTCATGGATTTTAGAATTGAAATTACTTCTTTTGCATTAGGTTTAAGTGCATCAGACACAGCCAGAACTCCAACAACTTCTCCATCCAATGATACTAAAATCCCAGTTTGAGCCATAGTTTCGGCTTCTGCTAGTACTTCTTCAGCTTCCACTGAAATAGCTATGTTATGATCTAGCATCAATTTTTTATTCCCAACTATAATTTCCTTGTTATGAACAATTGCCTTTACTCCTTGTCCTGAAACAGACACAAAGTCTTTTGCTTCTGGGAATGAATGATTCTGTTCATCTTCTATGATATTTTTGGCATGATCAACTATGGCCTTTGCTATTGGATGCTCACTATTCACCTAATCATATAGATATAACAACAAACATTATTGAATAACTAGAATGGATATTTCACATTCAAGACGTGTCCAGCGTACGTGTTAGTATCAGTGTTGTGACCGGTGTCCATATTTGTGAATATTTCATAGTTTGAATAATAATGTTGCTTCAGATATTCAAATAGTTATGACCAATAGAAGAAGTCTTGCCTCTGCTGCAGCCACAAATTTATAGAAATCTTTAACTGATACGTTTTTGAACAGTTTTGTAGTTACAACCACTGGCTTCCCAACGGTGAGAGTTCCTGTCTTATCAAACACAATGCAATTCACCTGCGAAATTGCAAGCCACAAGTGAGTTTTCAATTGTTGAAATGGTAACTTGAGAGGAAAGTTAATGTCTAATAGTGACATTCACACTCACCTTGTGCGCACTTTCTAATGCTTGACCACCTTTGATCAACACACCTTGAGTTGCACCAACTCCAGTACCAACCATGACCGCTGTAGGAGTCGCTAGTCCAAGAGCACAAGGGCATGCTATAACCATCACTGAAATTCCAAACTGAAGTGCAAGCTCAAAACTATTCATTGAGGATGGTATCCATGATTTAGGATATGTATGCAACTTTCCAGCTACAAACCAACAAATCCATGTTGAAAGAGATATCACAATGACCTGAAAAAACAATCACTATTAAGTATATGAAAAAGCAATAAATGATATATTTGATTGAAATTTGTATTAGTAGTTTAGACTTTAGACTTACTATAGGAACAAAGTATTTGGAAATCTGGTCTGCAAATTTCTGAACAGGAGCTTTAGCCATTTGAGCAGACTCAACAAGTCTAACAATCTGAGAAAGTGCACTTTCTGATCCAACTCTTGTTACCTTAACATGCAAAACACCATTCTCGTTCAAAGTCCCACCAATTACCATATCACCTTTTATCTTAGCAACAGGCTTTGCCTCACCAGTTATCATACTCTCATTCACATGACTTTGTCCCCATACAACAAGACCATCCGACGCTACTTTCGCGCCCGGCACAACTTTGATCACGTCATTCTTCTGTATCAACCGGCTATCAATCTCCCGTTCGCCAATCACATTTCCCTTATCATCTTGAGTTAATAACAGAGCTGTATCAGGTGTCAAATCCATAAGTTTAGCAATAGCCTGTGATGTTCTCCCTTTAGCCAACACTTCCAAATACTTACCAAGTAGAATAAAAGAAATTAGCATAGAACTTGTTTCAAAAAAATCACTTCCTTTGAAATGCGAAGAAAAAACCGTTCTTCCAACAACATAAACAGAATAGAAATAAGCTGCATTTGTTCCCAAAGCTATCAACACATCCATATTTGCATAACCTTTTCTCAAAGCCTTATAAGCACCAACATAGAATCTTCTTCCTATGATAAACTGTACCGGAGTCGAAAACTCCCACTTTACAAGCAATCCAATATTCAGCATATTAACAATCTTGATTTCTAAAACATGTTTAATACCAGGTATATACATAAGAACCATAGATATCAGAAAAACAGGAATAGTAAAAGCCAAACTCCATATCAATAACTTGAAGTGTCGATTAATTTCGTCTCGCTTATGTGCTTTACTTCCTCCATCATTTGAAAATATCGTGGCTCTAAAACACCCTGATCCTGTAGACTCAATGGCTTCAATAAAGGTTCTTGGTCCAGTTATATAAGGTTTATAAGTTAAGGTGATTCTATTAATGTGTTGATATGTGTCTATGGTTTCAACTCCTTGGAGTGACCTTAGAGAATGTTGAATAATATTCATTGATTGGTCATTTTTGATGCCATCGATTTGAAGTTCGATTTTGCTAATGTGTTCTCCTTTGCTTATTAATATTGGTTTGAAACCTGTGTCTGAAATGGCTTCTATTATTTGATTGTAGCTTATGATGTTGGGGTTGTAATGGATGTCTGCTTCTTCTGTTGTTAAGGCTACTTGTGCTATTTGGACCCCGGGAAGGGATTGAAGAGCTGATTCGACGTTGGAGGAACAAGAAGTACAGGTCATGCCACCTATGTGTACTCGACATATTTGTAATGAAGTGTTGCTTGAACTCTCACCCATGGATTTGGCTTCAAATCCAACATCTATAATGGCTTCACGTATCTTGTCTTCCTGTGTACGAAATATATATGTTGTAGTAATGTATTGGACAATGCGTAGTGTTGAAATTGCGTAAAGAGAGTTTTTATTTTATGTGTGAAAAGTGATATCTGAAATTGAAATGGGTGTGGTAGGAAGAAAGTGGAGCATATCACATCGTTAATAAAGTGAAACAATGACAACCATTAACGTAAATCACCCAAAGAACTTTATTTGTATGATGAGAGGGTAGGAAACTTTATTCTTTTAAAGAAATTGAGAGATCTATTTTGATAAACACAAAGAAGTTTACAATCATTTTTTAAAAAATATTCACGGTATTTTTTAATGGGTTAAATATATTTTTAATTTTTATAAATTATTAAATTTTATTTTAGTCTCTATAAAAAAACTGACATATTTTAGTTCTTACAAAATTTTTCGATATAAATTTTTGAATGATTATTTTGTAAGTATGTTTAGAACGTTATACAAAATTTTCCAAAAAAAGAAGAAATTCAAAATTTGGTTTCTCGAGATTTTCATATTGCTTTTATCAATATCTCTTGAGATTTAAAAAAGTTATATTTAATTCTTCTCATTTAAAAAAAAAAAAATTTGATAAATAAAATTTGTATATAATTCTAAACACTTAAGAAAATAATTATTCAAAAATTTAAAACTTCAAGGATAATTAAACAGTTTTCAAAATTTTAGAAAATAACATAGATTAAAATTGCATGAATAAAATTTTGTAGGGACTCAAATATGTCATTTTTTTAATAGGGATTAAAAATGAAATTTGAGATATTTATAGGGACCAAAAATATATTTAACCCTCTTTTAATTGTGGTGAAAGCTATTAAATTTCTCGTAATAATAATCTATAAAATCATACTTATGATTCTATGAATAGTCTCTCTCTCTCTCTCTCTCTCTCTCTCTCTCTCTCTCTCTCTCTCTCTCTCTCTCTCTCTCTCTCTCTCTCTCTCTCTCTCTCTCTCTCTCTCTCTCTCTCTCTCTCTCTCTCTCTCTCTCTCTCTCTCTCTCTCTCTCTCTCTCTCTCTCTCTCTCTCTCTCTCTCTCTCTCTCTCTCTCTCTCTCTCTCTCTCTCTCTCAAATAATTACATTTTAGATTCCAAAGACATATTCAAATAAAAAGAAAAGGAACTACCACCAAAAGAAAATTAAAAAACAACCATCACCACAAATTAACAATCCCAAATACATAACTTACTAGAGCTTTAAGTTAAATAGACGCCTCAATTCATTCAAGCTAGCTAAAGGAAATCAAGAAAGGACCAACACGACACTCAAGATTGGTCAAAACAGTTAACCTCACGCACCATCATATGTTCAAGCATAATAAGGGATCTTCTTCTCAAGCCCTTTAAAAAAAGGAGTTGTCCATAAGTTTTCCTTAAATCCACTTCTAGGAAGAACATTAATCATGTTCACCCCTTATTCAACTATTGATATATATTTTTTTTTATAAATATAACATCATTACGTGCATTCCAAATATATCAAATCACCAAATGCTATACCAAAGTCAAGCTAAGCACAATTCTCTCACTCTCCCAAAATATCCCATGCCCTTAAAAAATATTGAAAATACATTAATGTAAGTCACCTATATCCTAACCACTAAAGATATTATACCATATATCTAAAGCAATGCCACATATAGAGAATAAATGGTCAAGATATTTCATTTGGCTATCACACATGACACAAGAAGTAGCATTAGGGTTAACAATGACTCCCCACATAAACAAATTATCCTAATATAAACCATATCCTAGAAAAGCTTTTAATAGAACACGATAACCTTTGAGGGGACTCAACTTTTCCATCCTTTAACCAACACCTCCACCACCCAAGTAAGTATCGAATCTTGACCAAAAGAATAAGGCTATTAAGATATTGTTTGAAGACTTGATCAATAACACACCCTTAAAGTCAAACTTCTAGACCCATGAATCCGCCTTGAGGCACATAACCTTCCTTAGAAAGGTATGAAGGAGATTGCTTTCCACCAAGCAGAAATCCTTCTAAATCTAACCACACAACCACCAAGTTTAGTAAGTCCTAGGCAAGAACCATACATAGAAAAAAAGATCTTCCTCTACATGGAAAATCATTCATTAATCAACCTCTAGAGTCACTTACCTAAAAGAGCGAGGCTTGACAATCTCAAGTATGGGAACCTAGGTCACCCAACCTCTTAGGTTTGCACACATCCCTCCATTCAACTCACCCAATCATTACACTTTCTTGGTCCCACACTCAAAGGATCTGATTTTGTAAAGGAATGGTCATACTACAAACAATTGTTGACATCTCCTTTAAGGAAAGGATAAAAATTGGAATACCACCCAATACAAACTTAATAAGAACCACACGCACACCCAAGATGACAAACCTATTTCTCCAAGAGGCACGCCCACTAGAAATCAATCTAATTGTAGGCTCCCAAGTGGTCACCCTTTTAGGGCTATCCCTCACTTATTAAAAGAGAAAAAACCTAAAGAGATATCACTTGTTATCAAGGAACTTTGATCGTCCACTACCAAATGGAAAAGGAAATGAGCCAAATAGCCCTCCATTTTTAAGCCTTCTTTGAATATTATTTTCCTAAGTTGGGAAATTGTTGACAAAATCGAGAGGCACTCCAAAATGACCCAAACCCTAATCCACACTCTCTATTTCACACAAAAACTTAACATCCCATACATATACTCAAGAAATGAATAACTTAAAAAAATCACAGTGCTTCTTAAAACCCACCTTGAAGAATAAGCAATCTCTTTGCGACTTAGATAAATCAATAATTTTATTCATAACCATGACATAATCCACCTGTTGTACGCCTTTGAGAAATGATGATTGATTGGTGGACATAATAATATATGTAAGTAAGGCTAACCTAGTTGCTAAAAATTTGGCCATCAACTTATACATTGACCAAAAAGGAGAAATCAACCTAAAATACCTAAGAGAAATAGAAGAATCCACCATTAGATTGAGCATGATAAAATAGGATGTTATGATCCTAAACAAGGTGGCATTGGCACAAAAAATTGATCAAACTTAACATACAAATTTTTTGCTAAGGATATCGTAAAACTTCTTATAGAAGGTAATGCTAAAGTTATATGATCCCCAAACTCTTGTTACCATTTAAACCAGACACAACCTCACCCACTTGTCCAAAAAAACTTAGAAGTGAGAGACACATTATCATCCGGAAGAGTAGAAGAGAGGTTAATCCCATCTAAAGTCAGTTAGACCAATAACAGGCTGAATTAATGAAATGTAAAATCTATCTTAATCTTTCCTTGAACTTTATCCATATAGAAACAAGAAGTGCCACTATAGAATTCCCCTGACTCTTCTGCTTCACACAAGCGTGTAAATAATTAGTGTTTGTTTCTCCCTCCTTAGTCCCTCTCAAACGAGACCATCGAAAAAGTCGAGAGTCTTGACATCTAAAAAGCTTGTAGACCTCATCATTAACTTTACTTGTGTTCAACAAATTCATCATAAAAAAAGGGTTAACATCCACTTTAGAGTCCCACATCCCAAGATCCTCCAGACACTTAGCAATCCTAAATTCCAAATTATTGAACCACTCTATTATAGGATTTAAGCACATAGCTTTGAGGGTCTTCATATTTTCTCTACGCATACATGCCATCCAACCCGAAGGAAAATTTTATCCTTATAGACTGCAATACCATCTCCGAGAGAAATATTTGTTTTCCAATAATTTTTTTGAAACAAAGATAAGCTCATACCAACTTTTTATTTGACAGGGCATTTGGAGTAAAAGTTAAAAAAAAAAAAAAGTAAGTAATTTTACTAACTCCTACTCCAAACACACCTTGAGATAACTATGGCCATAGAAGGAAAAAAATAGTTTTTCCTTTAGAAATACACCAAACTAAAAAAATAATTAACTTCATTGTTACTCAGAGTCATAGTGAAGTTTCATTTATAGAAAATGTTACTTCAATAAGAGCGATGGTGAGTCTCATCAACCATACTTAACTTTGACTTCTAAAACATTTAAAAATGAAAAGATATTGTCCCGTATAAACTCTCAAATTTTATCGTTCTTAATACAAATCCTATATTTTTATAATATTAAATATCTGAAAATAAAACCGTTGACTCTTTATTTGTCTTTTCTAAAACATCTTTCTTCAATGCGGTCTTATTCACATAAACGAACATCGGAGTAATTTACACATTTCATAAAATATAATAATATAAGTTAACAAATGAATTATTTTTCCACATGCATTATAATTTTCAATTCCTTCCTAAAATTCAAGAACCATTCTTCTCTCAATTAGAAATGAATTAGTGCAATTTTAAATTTGATGTCTTGATTGTTGACTATCTTAATAAGGTCTAGGAGTATAAAATATATATCTTCTCCATTTCTTAAAAAAAATACATATTTTTTTAGAAAATTCTTAGGTAGACACAACAAAATATGTAGTCTTATATATAATTAATTATAATTTTTTATTAATTAAAAATAAAAATAAAATTTTCTCTCTTCTTTATTTTTCACAACTATTCCATAATTTCAATTAAAAAAGAAATTAAATTTTAAATAAATTAAAATATTATCTCTTTTTATTAGTTGTTTTTAAGAAAATGAATTTAGATTCGTTTTCATGTATCCGTGTAACTAATAATTTTATTAAATATTAAAAATTTAGTCAACTAATTTATATATTATATACACATCTATTATAAATAGGTATGACAACGAGGCGGATTAGAGACGGTTATTATTTTTTCAAAATTCAACTCGAATCCTCAAACAATCCACGTTATTGTTCCAAACTCAAATGAGAATAGAGAATTAACACTCAAATCCTACCCAAACGAGTTTGGGTTGAATTTAAATATCTCCGTTGTCCCACCATCCATTTAGTTAAATCAATTTTTCAAATAAAAAGACTTATTTTTTCCAAAATCAAATTACATTATGAATAATAAAATAAAAAAAATTAAAAAAATTTCATACATACATTTTAAATAATAAACACAAATCAAAATATCAAAATAGTGACCACATGTTTAATATTTTAAATTATCAAAAATAAATAATAATATACATAATCAAATAAATGGGACCAGTTCGAGACGGGTGGTCTTATTACATGATCCGTCTCCATATTCTATAATCAAAGAAAATCTAAATTCAAACCCAAACTCAATCAAAAAAAATTTCTCAGTCAACTTCGAAACGGTTCGGATGAATACCTGTAAATACGAGTTTTGTTATCCTCCCTAATTATAAACTAATTTATCATGTACACTACTTTTTATCAAAGTGATTAATAACTCCCGCCTCTTCAGCTTCCTTTACTGATGCAATAATTATTTAACATAGTACATATTCTTAAGAGGCAAGATTGGAACATTACGAGTTGTTATTAGCAAAGATCCTCATTTTCTCAAAGAAATAGAGAGGTACGTTAATTATAGTTTTTGAGCAAATGAACAACAACAACGTAACATAAACATGATTCAATCAAGAATGATCAACGCGACATATTTTTTAACATAAACAAAGAAGTCTATATGATACTTATAATTTATATATATTGTTGAGATTGAAATGAGTATTATGAAAATACTTACATTAACTATGGAGGGATAATATTGAACCTGAGCTTTATCATTCAAGACATCAACAACTGCTTCTCGAATTCCAGGTAAACGCTTGATGGCTTTCTCAACAGATCCAGCACAGGCAGCACATGTCATTCCCATAACGCAGAAAACAACAGTTATGGCAGCCTCTGGTTGTTCCACCACTTCCGGTGATGTTCCTTTCGGGTATCTCGTCATCGACGGATAGTGTGGCTCAGGTGAAAGGTTTCCACAGCAATGCAACCCGCCATTTATGCATTCCCAGCCATCAAACTTTTTACCCATATTAATCAAGCTTTTTAATTTGATATCATGTAGTGCATAAATTCTTTGGTTCCAATTGTTATATTTATACAAGAATCCAATGATAAAGGAAGGAAAGGAGTTAAAAGGTGTGTATATGGTGGGGACATCTATAGTAGTGTAAGAACCTTATTTTATTCCCAATGGCCTTTGTTAATACTATATTAACTAACCCTGTCTTTCTCCCAATTTGTTCCAATTCAGTTACATCATCAAATTGTGGCGGAAGTTTATTTTTTATATGAAAGGTATTACCATACAAAATAGGGAAGACATTTGGAGTTATAAAATAGGTATACAAAAAATGTTTTTTCCATTCAAAAATCAAGTAGGTTTTTCATATAGTGATGTTGATATTCAATGCGGTTATGCGGGATGGACTTGTAAAATTAACGCTTTAACGTTTAAGTCAATGAGTGCATAAAGAGGGGGTAGAGTGGATAGATTAGAATCATATTCTTTTATTGCATGTGTAGTGACTTATATACAATGGACAATAATTGAGTCTATTTTGTATTGGGCATGTGTCCTGCCTAGAATAGTTGTCCCTTAGGCTTGTCGTGGTGTGACATATGAGAAGCCTTTCAAGAAATTGGGTTGGACTCTTTTCATCGGAATCCTTGTGATGAAAAATGGAAGAGATTCGGGGAACTAACGTACTAAGTACATCATTGAAAAGTTTTGCAAGATTTCCTTATATGTGGTCATAGGTTCTTAGGTTAGGGTGTGACGTTTTCTCTAGGATGCTTGAGTGCATTCAAGTGCCGTTACATTTCTGAGGCAAAACCTGATTGTTGATTTTCATCTTCCCATTTTCTTTATTTTTTTATTATTGATTTATCTCTCTTCTTATCTTATACAAAGATTATTTTATCTTTTCAAACGATTTCCACTCTTTCCTATTACTAAGACTTATTTCCATCTTACAAACAAACTCTTTCATCTTTTTGGAGTAGTGGTTATTTCTTGTTTCACAATTTTTTTGAGTTATGTGTATCTGGTTCGCTGTCTTTTTAAAGTTTCACTTACTTTTCACTATTGCTAACCATTTTCTTACATTTCACTGCTTTTTTTTCTTATTTTTACTATGACCAACATATAAAATATTCATGAGAATATGATGAATGAACCTGATGGTGGAAATTCTTCATCGTATCCAACATATGAAAACTCATACGTTCCGAATGTTGACTCTTTAGAGGTTAACCAACCAAACTTTAATCTTGACGTACTTAGCGATAATTATGTGTCTAATAAGTGTTCTTAGGGGTGGACAGAAGAGAACCACCCGAAAATACCCGCCCGAACCGAATGTATATAGCAGCTGCGGATCGGGTTATTTCGGATGCACGGGTTGATCGGGTGAGATAATCGGGTAAGCATGGATAAATCAAGTCGGTTTCGGTTCAATTAGTTGGGCCCGTCGGTACTCGAATCCGACCGGTCCAATTTCGGTTCAATTAACTTGGGTTTTTCTTTCCTCTTTTCATGTAATTTTCTTCTTCTTCTCAGTTCTAAAAGAAAAACCCTAAAAGACAGTAACAATGTTACCACCGGCGCCGTCACCCCAAGCAAAACCCCTAACGTAAACCATCCACTGCGCCGCCGTGTCGTCCTCAACGAAATCTCTTCCACTGAACAACGAGCTCTACCACTGCGCCGCCGTGTCGTTTCTTTGTTTTCAAAGAGGTTTGTGTTCAGATTTTTATTTTTTATTTTGATTTGTTCTTTTTTCCAATGGATTAGAAACTCGGTATTTATTCTAAACTCGTCATTTTCGTCACATAGGAGAAAGCTTTTTTCTGAGTTCAGTTTTGGTGTTGGAGCTATTAAGGTTCATATAAACTCAGTATTTATTTATTTATTTTCGTTTCAATAGTTCAAATACAATGTTCAGTTTTTGTTGTTTTCAATATTTTAATCACTGTTGTTGTTTTCATTACAGTGTTACTGAGAAATCTCTTCAGAGAATTGAAGAAAGTATGTGTTAGTTTTGTTTTATTTTGTTCTAATAACTTTAAAAGAGTTCAGTTTAAATTTGATTAGCTCTAATAACTTTGAATATATTGTTTTAAATGCAAAGAGGTAAAGAAATGCAAGGAGTTGGACATGGGCATGGAGTTGGACATGTGCAAGGAGAGGGAGATGAGCATGGAACTGGTGGAGTTAGAGATATGCAAAATACCGGTAATTTTAGGCTTACTTTGATGTTTTTTTAGTATAATTTTGGCATAGTTTTTTAAAACCTAAACACCAACAAATTGTTTCAGCATCTAGGCAACACACACCAAATGCCAATGAACATTCCCAACCTAATCATCAAACTACAACAATACCCGAACTTCCACCAACTAACCCAAGGAAAAGAAGACGCAATGCAAATGGTAATAGAAAGAGATCCGAGGTTTGGGATCATTTTAACCTTATTCCTAATAGTGACCCACCAACAGCTGCTTGTAAGTACTGCCATCAAAAGTATATGTGTGACTCTAAGAAACATGGAACATCAAACTTAAAGAGTCACATGAAAACATGTCCCAAGTATCCGTTGAACTTGTCCACAGACACTACCCAAACAATCTTGTCATATTCAACAACTGAGGAAATATTAAGTTCTAGGTTTAATCCTGTAGCTTGTCGAAGTGGGTTGGCTTATTTTATCATTTTGGATGAAAAACCATTTAGTACAGTGGAAGGAGAGGCATTTAAGTACTTTTGTAGGCAGATGCAGCCCCAATTTTCTATACCGTCTAGGCGAACTATAGCTAGAGACTGCTTTCAGTTATATCTTGATGAGAAAGTGAGGTTGAGGGCGTTCTTTAATTCTGATTGTAGTAGGGTGGCAATTACAACCGATTGTTGGACATCTGTCCAAAATCTGAACTATTTGACCCTCACGGCCCATTTTATTGATAGAGAATGGCAATACCAAAAGAGGATAATCAGCTTTACGAGTATCCCAAACCATCGGGGAAAAACTGTTGGTAAGAAGGTTGAAGATGTTTTAAAGGAGTGGGGGCTAAGAAATGTTTCTACCATCACGGTAGATAATGCCACCTCAAATGATGTTGCTGTTAAATATTTAGAACAAAAAGTAAGAAACATGAATGGCCTCTTAATGGATGGATTTGGTTTTCACATGAGGTGTTGTGCACATGTGCTGAATTTGATTGTGAGAGATGGATTACAAGTTGCCAACACCTCAATTTCAAGTGTGAGAAATGCAATTAGGTTTGTTAGATCTTCACCCCATAGGGCTTTAAAGTTCAAAGAATGTGTGGAGTATGCTGGGATTTTATGCAAGAAATCAGTATGTCTTGATGTTTCAACTAGATGGAACTCGACATATTTGATGTTAGATTCCGCGGAGAAGTTTCAAAGTGCTTTTGAGAAGCTAGAAGATGCGGATGAAGCCTATAGGGATTTCTTTGAGGTTGACTCCCCCCCTAGTAGTCAAGATTGGGATAATGTTAGGGTTTTTATTAAGTTTTTGAAGAACTATTATGAAGCCACAAAGATTTTTTCTGTTTCCACAAAAGCAAGTTTGCATACTGCTTTTCCATACCTTGCTTCAATTTACATTGAACTTAAGAGGTTAAATATGGACCTTAATGGATTGTTTGCTGAGGTGGCTAGGGATATGCTGGAAAAGTATAGTAAATATTGGGTTGATATCACAAAGATGAACCAACTCCTTTATTTTGGTGTTATCTTTGATCCCCGATATAAGTTGAGATTTGTGGAATGGTGTTTTGATGATATGTATGGAAAAAATTCGGAAACTAGTAAATCACTATTAAAAGATATAAATGACAATCTTTTAACCATGTTCAACCTTTATAAACAACAATACGACACTGCTGGAGGCTTAATTCCATCTGTTGCAGCGGCTGTTTCTCATGGTGAAACAGCAGCCAGCGATGAATTACCCACATCCGTAGCTAGGGCAAATGCGTTTCAACAACATTTGATGTCTTTGGATGCAGTTGAAGAAGAAACTGAACTTCAAAACTATATAAAAGGAAAGTGCATAAGTTTTAATGAAAAGGATAAAGACACTTTTGACATTCTTGGTTGGTGGAAACATCATGTCGGGAAATACCCAGTTCTGTCCCAAATAGTTAGGGATATCATGCCAACGCCAGTGTCAACCGTAGCTTCTGAGAGTGCTTTTAGCACGGGTGGAAGGGTTTTAGAGGTATATAGAAGCTCTCTCAAACCAGAAATGGCGGAGGCATTAATTTGTGCTCAGAACTGGTTGAGGCCTTCCTTTTACCAATTCAAAGACTTGGAATTCAATGAGGAGTATGAGATTTCGGAAGATGCTTTACAAGGTATTATTTTTATCTTAAGTGTGGTTGTTTAATTTATTTTGTAATATGTTGCTGAAATATTACTTTCATTCCCTGCTGCTCACCTCAATGTCAATGCCTTTTAATATGTGTAATAGGATTTGCTGAAATTTCGTCTGCTCAGACTCAGTCACAGCCTTCTGGCTGTGCTTGAAACAACTTCAGGTTAAAGACTTCCTGAATATTCAGAAGCTAAATTTGCAGTAGTTGTAAAATTGTATGTTTTCTAATGTTTCTAGTTGTATTTGCAGTATTGCTGAATTTTTTGGAGTCTTATGACTCATTATTTTGAAGCCACAACACAACCAACGACTTTTGATCCAAGATACTTTTGAGAGCGTTGTCCAAGAACTAAATATCGATACTTTTGTGCTACTGACGGCCATGATGATGTTAAACCTTTTGCGAAGTGCCTGAGTGAAATTAAAAGAACTATATGTTATGCTCCAGAACTTTGGTTAAGCAGGTATTGACTTGTAAATCTATGGAAAACTAGTGATTCTATAGCAGTGCTATCTGTAATGTAGCACTAGTTGAACAAATCACTATTGTTTTGTGACACACTATCGAATTCAAAGTATTGCCGACATAACAAAACTTGAACAAACTGTAATTTTCTGCGATCTGCAA